GAAAGAAAGAAGCACATGAATATGAAAACTGTGGCTGAAAAAAAGAAAGCAAGAAAAAAGATGGAATAAAAAGAGCGTATAGAAAAGACAGAATAAAAGAAAAGAGAGAAGGTTGAGTGAATGGATGAAAAAGCGGTTGAAGATACAATGACAAAGAAAAGCATGTAAAATGGGGAAGAAGAAGAAGAAGAAGAAGAAGAAGAAGAAAAAGAAGAAGAAGAAGAAGAAGAAGAAGAAGAAGAAGATATGAATGAAGCGATAAAATAGTAAAAACGGAACAGTTCAGGAAAAATGAAAATAGAAACAAAGAAAGAAAGAAAGAAAGAAAGAAAGAAAGAATATACGACACTGAGCTGCGTAATTTGTTCAATGCCCAAATTGGGTCATAGCATCCAAGATCTTTCCCAGTTCCCTTCAACTGACCCAGAAAGAAAGAAAAAAATGTCTTTTGCACGAGCGTGGGAGAAGTCAGGAAACAAGGTCCTCACCAATTCCGCCTCTACGCTTTTCCCCACCAAACATAAGGGCCGTTTCAAATGAATGTTCTCCGGAGGACAAAGTTCTATTTGACGACGACGATGTGGTTTGTAAATTAAGACCTTCTGCCGTGTCAAAGAATAGTTGTCTTATCATCCAAGATCATCTGCTTTCAACTCATTAAATTCTAGGTTGTTTGAGATACTACACTACTAGAGAAACAGATATAAACAAAGAAGAATGGGCATATATATATATATATATATATATATATATATATACAGAGAGAGAGAGAGTGTGGCGGAGAAGGGGAAGAGAATAAGAACGCATAATCGAGGGTATGTACATATACACATATTAGGCTGTCACACATTTTGGGGTTGGTTGTTGATTCGGTCGTCTAAGGAAGTAACTTTCGTAGTACATAACAAAAAATCTTGACTTATCCCGGACTCTTTTTCTTTACAGATAATTTTTCTTTCAATATATTTGTTACTCATAAGCCTAATGAAAATTATTACAATGAAACAATGTTGAGTAATCTGACTATATGAGTACAAACTGAACCATTCTTCCGGTGAAGCTTTTCGGGATATCAAGGCGGCCTTTGGTAATGGCGGTGTTGAAATCAGAATTGTAGAGAGATAGTTTAAGAAGTTTTGTTCATGAGATTAGAGTCTTGAAAAATAAACCAAGTGGAAGACCGTGGTCCGGTTAGCAGACCAAAAACTTGCATCTGTACTCGAAACATCTCGCACAATTGTTTCTCGGTACTTGAAAGTAATTGGAAAAATAAAGAAACTGGATCGGTTTGTTCCGTATGAACTGAATGAGAAAAAAAAAAACGTTCCTCTTTGAGGTGTGCTTTCTGTTGTTTTCCCGGTTGGAAAAAGAACCATTTTTGCATCGAATCATTACACGCGATGAGAAATGGATACTCTTTGACAACAGTAAGAGAGTAGGCCAGTGGTTAGAAGTAAGTGAATCACCAAAGCAATATTCAAAACCCCCACTGCACCCTATGATGTTAATGGTTACTGCATGGTGGTCTTTCAAAGGGGTTATTCATTATTCACCCTTGCTTCAAGAAAAAACAATAACAGCAACCTCTTGGAGAAATTGTGTGTATGTACAAAAAAATTGAAAAAGAAAACACCTCGACTTGTGAAAAAGGATGGCCCAGTTTTGTTGTACGGGCGCACGCTTCTTAATCAATTGTGCAAAAACTGCATCGCCTGAAGTTTTATATTTTGCCTCATCCTCTATATTCGCCTGGTGATTACCACTTATTTAAGCACTTTGAGCTTTTCATAAGCAATAAAACATTCTTCCATAAGGAAAAGGTAATTGAAATATTTAAACAGTTTAGAGATTGATATGCCGCTAAACAAAATCATCGAACCAGATTCTTCTGTCACTATCAAGTCGAAAAATCAAGAAAAGAAGTTGCTTTGAATTTATAGAAAGAAAACTGTAAAAATAACATTTTTTAAACTCTGAACCCAATGGGCCGGATGCAGCTGTATTAAAGTGTATATACCATGTCTACCGATACGTGTCATGTACAACACGGGCCCAGGGTGGTGAGTACGTACCTATCAAGGGTTCAGGTTTCAAACAATGAAACAAAAACAAGAAATATCTTTTCTTGAGGGTGGAAATAACTATACAACAGTTTGGAGGTTTCTAATGCTTGAAGATTGTCCCACCCCTACATCTGTAGAATATATGGGCATCTGTTTTGCATCGTTTTTACACGATTATCAGTGTGAGCGACAGAAAGTCATCCCAACTAGTTTACATACAGAGAATCAGTGTTTCATTTGTCTTAAATTACCTCCCTTGAGTATAAAAATTCCTCGAGGGTGTCCTTAACAAGTTCCCTAATAAAGTGATGTCTTGGCGCCCAAACCAATTTTGCTGACTTTTGCTGAAAGGATTGTCGAACAGTCTTGCTAGAATATAAATTCATGGTTGTGTTTGAATCTATTTGTTGCATTTATCGGCCCTCAATTGCTACTAATTCAGCCGTAATATCGATAAAAAACGCCTCCCCAAATCATGAGAGAAACACAACCAAATTGTCACTTTAAGATTATCTGTTTGGATTTATGTAAACAATGCCAGTAACATCGTATCCCATTTCAGCTCTCTTAACGAAACACTTTTTCTGCAGGAAATAGCACCTCAGCACTTATTCCTTGACCAAATGAATTGCCCCGTCTTCCATTCGTATTTTCTTATGAAATTGTGTCCGAAATAGTGATGTTGTGCATGGATATGTGACATTCGCTTCGTTTACAAAATGAATGAATATACAACAACATAAACATATAAAAATGTTCAGATAAAACACAAAAGTTTTCATATAAAAAACACACACACACACACACATACATATATATACATGAAGAAAAATATACAGAAAAAAACAAACAAAAATTTTAATATGCAATTATGCTGTATTAATGTTAATATAAAGTCAACGTCGGACGTTTCGGTCTATTTTAGAGCATCATCAGGACATTTTCATTAAACATATTTAACATTAAAACATATAATATATATATATATATATATATATATATATATATATATATATATATATATATATATATACAGCATGTGCTTATATATATACAGCATGTGTTTTATATATATATATGTGTGTGTGTGTGTATATATATATATATATATACAGCATGTGTTTTTTATATATATATATATATATATATATATATATATATATATATATATATATATATAAAGGGTGATATAATGGAATATGTATACACTTGAGTTCCCCTCACTGGAATATGATTGACTGGTGTCCGCCATAGATACAGACGGACGTGTAGGTACGACAGAGTTTAAGTCTATAACGACGTCCATTGGACTACACCATTGATCTACACTTCTTACATGCGACAACGACGCGTACCAGTCGATTAGTTCTACCGTATTCTACTTGGTTGTAGTAGCCAGAACCATTTAGCTACTTCGATCAAACATATCTCCCTTTCCGGGACATATCAAAGGGAGAGGTTACAGTTGTTCCAACGAGAGAAAAGTGTATGTTTTAAAGTGAATCCGCAAACATTTTTTGTTTATAATGTGAACTTTTTAAAAATATATATTATACTTTATTTTCCATATTTTTGCTAGACGAGTTTCCGATCTCGTGATCTTCATCGGGCAAAGAGTGGTTATTTCCAGATATTATTAAAAGGAATTCATTTTTCTTATGTTTTCCGATGTTTAACCATTGTCTTTTGTGTGACAATCGTTAGAATGACAATGGTTAAACATAAAACAATAGTTAAAATGACAATGGAAAACATAAGCAAAATTAATTCCTTTTAATAATATGTGGAAATAACCACTGATGAAGGTCGCGAGACCGGAAACACGTGTAGGAAAAATAAAAAAAATAAAAAAAGGTATGGAAAATAAAGTTAAAAAATAGAAAAGTTAAATATAGGAATTTGTGGAGAGCTATGATCGCCCATGGCCTAAAAGGACAAAGAACCTAAAAGAAAAAAATAACATATATATTGACTGATAATAAAAAAGTAAAACAAATAGTCAGATAGACAGAAAGAAAGAAGCAGAATTAAGCAGAAAAAGACAGAGATATTTAGTTTGATCAATCGATAGATAGATAGATAGATAGATAGATAGATAGATAGATAGATAGATAGACATACACATAAATAGAGAGATAGTTAAGGACTGACAGTAATAGATAGATAGATAGATAGATAGATAGATAGATAGATAGATAAGGACTGACAGTAATAGATAGATAGATAGATAGATAGATAGATAGATAAGGACTGACAGTAATAGATAGATAGATAGATAGATAGATAGATACATAGATAGATAGATAGATAGATAGATAGATAGATATAGAGAGAGGGGGGTAGTTAAGGACTGACTGTAATAGATAGATAGATAGATAGATAGATAGATAGATAGATAGATAGATAGATAGATAGATAGAAGCAAAATGAAATAAATAAAGAGATAGATATATAGGTACATAAATAGAAAAAAAGAAGATGGTCAGTTAGATAGATCGTTCGTTCGATAAATCGATAGAAAGAAAGAAAAAAGAAAGAAAGGAGCAGAAATCAATAGAAAAAAACAGAGTGATCTTTTGTTTGAACAATCAGTGGATAAAATAGATAAACAGATACGGAGAAAGATAGTTAAGAAGTGTCATTAATAGATAGATAGATAGATAGATAAATAGATAGATAGATAGATAGACCGACAGAAAGAAGCAGAAATAAATAGAAAAAGACTGAGATCTTTTGTTTGATCAATAGATAGATAGACAGATATATAAATAGAGATATAGTTAAGAATTGACTTTAATAGATAGATAGATAGATAGATAGATAGATAGATAGAAGAAAAGAAAATAGATAAAGAGATAGATATATAGATACATAAAAAGAAAGAAAGATTTAGATAGATTGTTCATTCGACCAATAGATGGATAGATAAGAATAGAATTAGATAAATAGATAGATAGATAGATAGATAGATAGATAGATAGATAGGAGCATAATTAAATAGATAGCTAGATAGGTAGATTGATAGATATGACTATAACATTATGAGAAAGGCAGAAGTCTTAATTACAATCGGCCTACAATGAAACTAATATTTTACTATCTGAAAGAATCTGAGTCTCGTAGGTCACTTTTTTTTTTCTTTCTCAGTGTCTCTACTTTTTAGTTTGGATAATTTATCCCTGTACGAGTCGACGTGCTCAGGTCTATTTGTGTTTGTTAAACACCCACTCTAACAGCCAGTGGTTTATACTGCATCTATGCTGAGTAGACCTTAACTATATCTGCGGAGAAGCTCACAACTTTGCCTAATTCAACACTTTGGACAAGACTATGGCGCTTAAAAAAAAATCAGTGACGATGACATGTGATCGATGCTCACACAACGATTGACAGCTTCCGAACAATTTCGTTGACACATTAAATGACAAGGTTTGGGTCAACCTGTAGTATGGCTTCCAGATACCCTCCCCCTCACTCCAACAGTGACGCACGCTAGAATTGTCACCCCAAACTATAATTACATTAAAGAGGAATGGTGAGATTATCTTGAAGATTTCCTGGAGTTATGGTCTAGTAAATGTTCAATATGACAGTCGCTGCTCGTTTTTTTCTACACTGATGAAGAAATAGTTATATGGATCGTTGATCAATGTCCCTAGTCACAAAGAAAATAGTGCTGAACTGCTATATAATATCTCATGTCCTCTACGGTGTTGAGGTCTTAACAATTTTCCCTGAGAAATGTAAAAATGATTTATACTTCAACATAAGGTCCGATGTTCCTTCAGTGTACCTAGAGATTCTAGATAAAGTTCAATGAAGATTCAGCAATATTATTGGCTTTGACCTGGCATCTCGGCTTCATTCACTTTCCTACCGCCGTAATGTAGCTTCCTTGTAACTTTTCTATAAATATTTTCATGGTAATTGTTTTGATGAACTTTCCTCTTTTGTCTCTGCCGAAGGGCAGAGTCTCGTCTCGGGAAACTGACTCCGTTTTTACGTCGTCTATAGGGAATTTTTGCCCAAGGCTACGGGCTCGGATACTCCACATTAAAACTCGGCCTTGTGCTACATCTTGCTGCGTGTGGCAGCAGGTCAATAATTACTTTCCTCGATTGTACCTAGACTTTATGAATTTAAGCGCAGTTCTAGATTGGCCAACTTTCTAATGGTACTGAATTTAATTCACACGTCTGAAGTTATCTAAGTTTGAATAGAAGTTGACCAAAAAGAAGCGCCTAGACACAGAAGAGATTTTTTTTCGATTAAAACAGTCAGATTACCCCCCCACCCTGTTTTTGCTGAAGGTGGAGGTAGTCGCAGAAACCACTCTTTGCTAAGTCCCGACTTTCCCAGACTTCATGAGTTCAAGCGCCCTACGAGGCTGGCATCCCGCTCTCACCCTTTCACTGTCGAAACTCCTAAATGTAGCCGTCTCTTCTACTCCAATAGCTTCATGTCTCGCACCTCTCGCCTGTGGAACTCCCTTCCCTATTCCAGTTTCCCTGAGAGCTATAATCTCCAGCTATTCAAATGTAATGTCAATCGACATCTCCAGTTGCCTTGATCTATCCACTACCCTTCTCCTCATCCTTTCCTCTATCACTCCTATCTGGTCTTGCTCCAAATTTTCTGTAAACCCTTGCGTCCTAGTGGCTTCTCGCCTTGCTTGGGGTGAAAAGCTTTAAAAAAAACAAAAGAACCACGTGTTTTCTCAATTCTTGACCGTGTCTATGCAACATGTACGTATTTAAGATTTATTCTCATACACTTTCTTGGTTCTCCTACAATTTTTTTCTTTTTCTTTCTTTTTTTTTTCCTTATTTTTTTGTTTGTTTCAAGTTACTAATTTACTTAAGTATTAATCTCTTCTTTCGTTAATACTAATTATTCTAGTTTAGTTTCCATAATTCTCCTATTTCTAATGGTACTGAACTTAATTCACCTCGTCTTAAGTTTTCTATCTTTGAATAGAAGTTGGCCGAGAAGAAGCGCCTGGATTCAGTCGTGAAGTGATTTTTTTTTTTCGATTTAAACGCTCAGATTACCCCACCCGCCTTCGTTCAAATATGGGGAACTTTTCCTCATCTTTCTCTTCCCTTTAGTTTCATTTGTTTGCTACTACGATTTATTTTAATTTTCTTGTTTCTCAAATTTTTCTTCTCTAAATGAAGTGAATTTAATGTCCTCCCCACCTTTTCAAATCTAAGAAATAGTTATATCTGAGAAATAGGTAAAAATCCAAACTTCTGTGATATTGGTTCTAACCTGACATCTTTCCTTCAATCACTTCCCCACTGCCATAATGTAGCTGCCCTGTGCCTTTTCTATAAATACTTTCATGGTAATTGTTCTGATGAACTTTCCTCTATTGTAAATACTCATTGGGGCTAGTTTTTAGAATTGTTGTTTTTATTCCCCTCCCCCCACAGACAATGAATTGTAAATATGGGGACTAGTTAGTATTTTCATAGAGACAAAGAGGTATTATGGTGGTTGTAGTAAGAAAGGTACGTATGAATGTGTTGTTTTGGTGTAAGGAATATTGTTTCGTACGATTGGGTGAGTGTTTGCGGATAGCTAAGTTATAGTTAAGACAGAAGAAGACCGTTCTTTCCCCAATCCCCCCTTACGGCCTTGTGCCACATTTCTGTATTAAACAGAATAAATATCAATTTCCTCTATTGTCTCTGCCGAAGGGCAGAGTCTCGTCTCGGGAAACTGACTCCGTTTTTACGTGGTCTATAGGGAATAGCTTATTTCCCATATGAGGTAAAAGGATTTGTTTGATTATTAATTTCACACACACACACACACACACACACACACACACACACACACACATATATATATATATATATATATATATATATATTGAACAATAAAAAAAATATTAAAAAATTAAAAAATTATTAAAAAATTTAAATCTTTAGACACACTGGGTTGTAGATTAATATTCTTTCGTTTTTTTTTTATTATTTCATTTAGATTCATCGACTAGTTTCGTCCAAAATGGCCATGATCGGGAGGAGAAATGTTTCTGCTTGCTGGTAGCAGTAAACTACAGAAATGAATGTCTTGCTGGAGAAAATGAACTTTTGTCTGTAGTTTTCATTTGTTTTTTGTTTTTTTATTTTTTTTATCTTTTAGATATGAATCTTTTAACATTCCTTGTGTTGGTCAAACAGTCTCTTTTAATTTGTTATTTAAGATAAGAGCTGGATAGATACACGCTGCTCTGAATTCCCCTGGTCAGTTTGATAGTTTTATTGGACCTGGTGAGGTGATGTGTCTCAGTTTAGTGTTTGTGTGTGTGTTATTTGGTTCTTAAGGAGTGAGTGAGTATGATGTGTAAGCGTGTGTATTGCTGTGGGTTTGTGTTATCATTTGGCTCATTAGGGAGTGAGTGAGTATGATGTGGGTGTGTGTATAAGTGTATAATGTATATATATATATATATATATATATATATATATATATATATATATATATATATATATATATATATATTGTTTATAAGTCGATCCGAATATGAATCGACTTTTCAGTTAATCTGAGAAATAGGTAAGAATCCAAACTTATCCAAACTTCTGTGTAATTGGTCCTGACCTGGCGCCTTTCCTTCAATAACTTCCCTACCGCCGTAGTGTAGCTTTCCCGTGCCCTTTCTATAAATACTTTCATGCTCATTGTTCTGATGACCTTTCCTCTATTGAACCTAGACTTTATTAAAACTAGATTGCCGCCAAGTTTTCAATAAATAACAGTTGAGTTGGCTAGATGTAACCATACCTTATATGCAAACAGTTTCTTTTCTCGCACTTCTTGCTTGTGGTTCCATGCTTTCCAGCCAAATTTGATCTAAAATTTAAATGCAATGCCAATCGCTTATCTACGGTCCTCTTGATTACTCTTCTATTGTTCTCGCTCCTTAATAATGCTTAACTTTTTCCTCATTTCACACTCGGTAACCTTTTTTCACCTTTCACACTCAGTAACGCCCTAGTATCTTAGTCGCACTACTGCCTTGAATGACGTGATATAACTAAAAAAGATCGACGCATCTGTGTTTCTACCGACGTATAAGGAAATATTCTTGAAGGAAGACGTGAGCAACAGCGAATCCTTAAAGGAAATTGGAATGAAAAGGAAAGTGATACTAGCAATCAGAAAGAAATAGCTGAAACTTCTAGGACACAAAACGAAGAAAGACGGCTTGGAACATTTAACGCCCACTGGGCATAAAGAAAGCAAGGAAAGTTGGAGAAACATTGAATAAACTAAGTAACCAGTTTGTTCGGACGGCTATCAGAACCAGAAACAAGATGTTTGTTAAAAGGTGAAAAGTTACTTGGGCACCGTCTATGAGAAAAAAAAAAGAGCACCATGACACAATTCAAATTGCCAGAAATTTAGAAAGGGCATGCTGTACTGCTTGGTATTCGCGTCGGATGCTCCAATACGAACATTTCAAAGTGTCAATCTGAGGACAGTGCAGAAGATTCGGAAAGAGTTGTCTGAGTCTAATGGTGATTACAAAGGTGTTTGGAGTGATCACTAGTGATGGCAGCCTTATGCCTCCATTCATCTTCCCACAGGCTTAACACTTGAGGAGGCAGAGCTGCACTAGGTCAAGAGGGTGGCTGCAGGAAAACTATGCCTGGCAACACAATCAGGAGAATTCAGTCATAGATTAAGATTTCTGCACCCAAATCACCCATTACGTCTGGATACCTAACTCTACTGACTGCAACACCCTCGATTATTATGGGTGGAGCACAGTTGAGTAAGAGACCAGCAAAACTCCTTGTAAATACCAAAGATGAACTGAAGGCAAGGATTATGGCAGCATTCACCTAATTAAACAAGGAGTCCATCTAGAAGAGTTGCAGGAGATTCTGAATTGGTCTGGAGGCCATGTTTGAAGCCAGTGGCGATTTTATTGAATAAATTTACTCTTTACTATTTCTAGATATTTTCTAGATATTTTTGTGAGATTTTGGCGAATATATGTTAAAATGAGATGTCAGTGTTATTTTGCATTGTTGCGTAATTTGGGCGACAATTTATCCATCGCACCCTCCATAAAGCTTTTTTCATGTACGAGCACTGATTTTTTTTTTTTTTTCTGAATAAAACCTAAACTTTCCATATAGTTCGTGTGAGGGAAAAGAAAATGACTAAATATAAACTGCAAATACAGTGTCGAATGGTTACGGAGGATCCCCATGACACATTGATGAAGCGTCTATGCATTATTTATGTCTGTTGCGTAAACCAATTCTTTTAGGTGGACAACAACAAAAAAAAAAAATCCAAAGGATTCAGGTCTGATGAACGTGTTCGCCATAGAAACGGTCCTTCCCTGCCTATCCAACTTTCATGGTAGATGTCAGCCAATGCATTGCAATGTGACGAAAATGTGCTAGAGCCCCCTCATGCATGAACCACATGCGTGGTGAGTGATCAATGGGCGAAAGAACCTGCATACGTTGTAAATTATACGGATACAGCAGCTGCGCTTAAAATACCCACCATCCGGTACTATGCGGTGTACGACATGCTAGGGCCATTTGACGTGTACTGATAACAGCCTGTAGAATATGTTCTTCCCAGTCAAGTGTACGAGCGGATCTTCGTATTCCTCGATCTTGATTTTGACTCGGCTGCCTTCGGTCTAAAAACGCAATCTGATACAGCCATGCAACGTCGCGTCCATTATCCTTCACGCAGCCGTATCTAAAATCATAGTTTCCTAATCCCAATAAGAATATCCTGTCACTGTTAAACGAAACACTTCTCAATTAACTCTCTACTACAGACATTAAACGTTGAAGACACAAATATACACTAAAGACAAATGTAACCGAATCTACATGGCAACACAGCACCATCTACTATAAACTTACATAGTAACTCAAAAACAAAGGATTTGAGGATATCTGTTTATATGGGCGTTTGTCCTTGTTTTGCCCCCAAATTTTCTAAAAGAATTTTTGAAATACGCTGTATAAACCTCTAATTAATAACGCATATTATACTGTACATTAATGGGTTAAATGTATTGAGAGTGACCCAACTCTTTTTAAATATCGAGGATGAAATGGGAGCTATTAAAAACAAACGTCTGCATTATTGAAGACGGTAGAATTATCATATTGTGGGAGATTAATTATAGTCAATTGATTCCTAACAATATTTACTGTATTCCTCCAGTGTAAAGAAAGCAAGGAAGAAAGAAATATAGAAAGAAAGAAAAAATGAAGGAAAGAAAGAATAAAGGAAAGAAAGGATGAAAGAAAAATGAAGAAAGAATGCTTGAAAGAAAGAAATCTTAAAGAAACCTTGAAAGAGATCTAGAAATAAATAAATAAATAAATAAATAAAGAAAGAAAGAAAGAAAGAAAGAAGGAACGAAAATGAAAGACAGAAACTGAGAAATCTAGAAAGAAATAACCTAAAAAGAAAGAATGAAGTCTTGGAATTTCGAAAGCAATCTGGAAAGGCTACTCGAAAGAGAGGAAGAACACTAGAAAGAAAACGAGAAAAAAAGAAATCTTGAGAGAAAGAAAGCTTGAAAGAAAGAAAGAAAGAAAGAAAGAAAGAAAGAAGTTTTGGAATTTCGAAAGTAATCTCGAAAGACTACTCGAAAGAGAGAAAGAACATTAGAATGAAAGTGAGAAAAAAAGAAATCAAGAGAGAAAGAAACCTTGAAAGAAAGAAAGAAAGAAAGAAAGAAAGAAAGAAAGAAAGAAAAGATAGAAAGAAAGAAAGATGAAAGCCCGGAATAAAAATAGAAAGAAAGAATAATTCTTCTGCTGCTGCTTCAAATAAATGATTAAATTTGTTGCGAATTTGTCCTCTGTGATTTCATGATAATATATGAGATCTCGTTTCTTGTGAAAATGTTGGTAAGAAAATGAAAAAAAGAAGAGATAATTGAGTATTAAATAGCAATGCAAATCAATGTGCTGTTATTCAAACAGTCATTTCAGTATTTGTTGAACTATCTCTATATTTAATTATTTAATATATTTATATATATATATATATATATATATATATATATATATATATATATATATATATATATATATATATATATATATATATACCTCCTCCCCAGCAAACATTTATTTCATTTGTTCGGCTATTTATTATTCATTGAGGTCAGGTTTAAAAAATGGCGACCAGGAGTTTTTTTTATCCATTTTTTTATCTCCTTCGATTAGAGAGTTCTCTCCGCAAAGGGAATAATTTTGCTTTCTGACTTTTTTTCTTCTATCGCAGTGATTTAATGGGTTTAATCATATTTAACAGGTTTCGATTTTCATATATTTATATGCCTTTATACTTTTTATTCTTTCTATTGCAAAGTTTTTTTTTTCACTTTTATACATTCTCGAACAGGCGCGCGCTCACACACGCAAACACCTACACACCCATCCAAAGACACACATGCATATCAGCACACACACGTAAAAAATACACAAATACAAGCAAACATAATTAATGCACAACTTCACACATATATACACGCGCCTAAAAACAGACATACGCAAACAAGTGAGGATACACAGGACGCACAAAAAAACACATATACACACTTCCCATCATATCGCGTGTTTTCTACATCTTTATTTTATGTGACGTGTCCCTTCCGGACGTAGGTGATCATGGCTCTCTACAACTTCCTTTCCTTTTTGGCTTTTAATAATTTTTGTCTTTTTGTTATTTCCTTTACCCCCCGTTTCGCCATCCATTTACTCAAGATCACTCAGTCTTTCCTGTGAGTATCAGATTTTCCAAGCCCTCTCTCCTCATTATATACCCTAGAAATGTCTGGGCATCTCGACCTGGCGTAATGGTTAGCAAGCTTGTCTCGCTAGAACAATTACAGCTGAGTAGTGAGTCCGATCCTCATTGGGTGCCCCATACATTCGGCCTTGTGCCACATCTAATCTACGCTTAGAAAATCGATTTGGGCACGTCGAGGCGGTGTAAAGGTTAGCAAGCTTGTCTCGTTAGGACAATTACGAATGAGTAGTGAGTTCGATCCTCACTGGGTGCCCCATATTTTCGGCCTTGTGCCACATCTAAGCTACGCTTAGAAAATCGCTACCCTAGAAATGTCAACTGTCTCTATCTGATGTTTAGTATACGTTTCTTTTTGCTTCCATTTTCTCTACAACGTTGTCGTTGTTCACATATTCAGTCCGTTGTATCCTCAACATCCTTCTGTAGAACCACATTTTTGTTGTTTCACGTCTCTTCTTCATTTGTGTGGAGATTGTCCTGCATTCATTGCCATATAGGAGGATTAATATCAAGCGACATTTCAGTAGACTTTTCTTTGTTTATAACGAATTTTTTTCTGTCTTTTAATACCTAATCCTTGTCAAAATTCCAGAAACGGTGAATTGAGTGTACATTTCTTTATGTGCCGTGTACCTCCAGGACGTACCTTATAATGGAACTCCACTGGCACTTGTCTTTTATAGCTCTTAATAAATGTTATATTTCTTTTATTTCTTCTAAACCCTGTTCCGCCATGTACATTAAGTACCATACGCGTTTTTTTTTCCTCTGTCCCTCTTTCTTCCTCATTATATGCTCTAGAAAACTCAAATGTCTCTTCCTGGTGTAAAGTATTAGTTTCGATTTTGTTTCTATTTTCACTAAAAAGATGACACCAATTGCTGAAAACGGTAGCAATGAAGAGGTGGTTCCACGCTCCTCAAAATTTCCCGATCAAAGGCCTTGCTGCCGGATGTAGTTTATCGTCATACCCAGGACGAAATGGGGAAAAAGCTGACTGGTATCATTCAATACATCCAAAACTAAACAAGTAAAATTACATCATTACCGAGACCATAAACCTCCACCAATCTTGATGAAAGGTCATTGAAAGAGGTTGCTTGCCTTGAACGTCTACTAGGTGCAAATGTCACTCCTAAGCAAAAATGAAACTCATTTATTCGTACCATGTAAAAGATACTAGAACGTAGGCAATCATGGCTCTCCCTAATTTTCTGACCTTTCTAGCTCTTAAACATTATTTTTCTGTCAATGTTCCTAATCCCTGTTTCGCCATCTATTTACTCAGGCTCATTAAGTTCTAATGCGTTGTTTTCCTCTGTCCCTCTTGATTTCAGTCTGCCCTGTGAGTATCAGATTTTCTAAACCCTTTTTCTTTATTATGGGGCCTAGAAATATCAGCTGTCTCTTCCTGATGTTAAATATAAGTTTCCTTTGTGTTGCTATTTTCCTCTCTCCCTCTTGACTTCAGTCTGTCCTGTAAGTATCAAATTTTTGCAGTCATATGAGAGTCAATTTTTAAAAAAGCTATGGAAATATTATACTATGACCAATAAGCTGGTATTATGACTAGAGGGCCAACTCAGAAGCTCGAAATAGACAGTTATGAAGTTTAGGTGAATCAGTTATATGCCATGTGGGATACACGCTTAGGCGATCATGTATCTTTCGATACATGTCTGCCGAGGCAGATTTTTTCCCGCATAGGTTGCCATTTCTTTCTGTGGTAGACCAGTTGCCATCGAAGGCTAGAGAACGCGGCCTGTCCTGCTATTTGCCCACAGCTGAAGGGAGAAGAAGAGGGTTCATATCTTTCCCAAGGGTCTTAACACGTAAGTGAATTTCAGTCAGTTATGTGCCATGCGTGATACACGCTTAGGCGATCATGTATCTTTCGATACATGACTGACGATTCTTTTCCCGCAATAGGTTGCCATTCCTTTCTGCGGTAGACCAGTTGCCATCCTAGTCTATACAACCCGGTCTGTCCTGCTATTTACTCATAGCTGGGGGAAGAAGAACAGGATCCATACTTTTCCCAAATGTATTAGCACATACTTCTCAAATACTCTTCTATATCGTGCGTCTTATACGCTGATAAATGCCTTACACGTATACAAACACACATATGCTCAAGAAGTAATATTTCAACCTACACACAGTAATGGGAAAAGATTCAACAAGTTATAGGAAGCAAAAAAGCCGAGTACTTTATTTTGGGGAGTGTTGGGGCGCACCCTGTAGAGAGATATAGACCAAATTAGGAGACACGATTAAAAGACTTTTAATGTCCCTTTTTTAAATGACATTACACAACGAATTTTCACATTTTATGCTCCATGTCTCTTCAGGACGCGAGTTGTGTAGATCCATAATCCATTAGGTCCTAAAGCGAGGAAAATCCAACAAGTGACGAATATTATTTTAAATCGGTCTGAGAAATTAATTATAGACTGGTAAATTTTCAGATTAACCCGCGGAAGCTTCTCTCCGGCCTTTTTACTGATCTTCCTGTCTTCTTAATCATTTCAATTACTGCGCAACACCAAAAGAAGTCTTCCGATACTTTTGAAAGTGGAGCTTTTATTGAATTCATTTTTTTAACATTTGTTGAAGTTATTTAGAAAAGCAATGACAAGTGCTGTATTTTTTATAGTAAAGCGATAATAATAATGAATTCTTGTTTAAATAATAAAACATAATTTAAAAGGTAGCCTTTCCGCAATTGTCATTACTATTGCGAAAACATTCATGCTTAAATAATATTGCTTAACATTTTTTCTGTTATCATTAAGATCATGCTTTTTAAAACCCCAAATTTAATAACAAAACAACTTTAAATTCTATGTAGTTCTTTAAAGCACTTGTTTTGTTTTTAATTTGTAAATAAACATGCTTTTAAAACCCCAAATTTAATAACCAAAAACGTGGGTTACTTTTTAAATTTCGCGTATTCATTTTAAATTAAAGTTTGTGTATTGCGTGCGCAATAATCAAGACAAGTGAAGGTTCTGCGCCTGACTACTCGAGATAAACGTATGTAAACAACATCAATAATGACTGCCGGGCTGTAACCGCGACGCGAATAAGGCCATACTCATATCATCGATAAATTCTAAACGGTACATTTCCGCAAACTTTTACTGTTATTTTCGAAATAAACATGCAAATTTACACCAAAATGGAAATTTTCTGGACATTTTCATTAGAATTGGTTTTCGGGGCTTAATCTGCAAATCAACTTTAGAGACTTCTAGAAAATTCGGTATTAATCATAAATACATGAGTTTATTGATCTAAGAAACCATACAGGGAATTCCTTTTATTTAATCTACGATATTTAGCAGGAACAGCAGTCAGAACATGACAGGCAATGACAACAGTCACAGCACGAATCAGCAGCTAGTTGAGGTTTCAGGCGCCAATTTCACTCCGAAATATTCTCATACGGGAAAATGGCCTAGTTGAAAATTAAAAGCGTTTGTTCGTGAATTTGGTGACATAGCGACTACGAGTTCAATCCCGAGGTCGGGTAGTGTGTACGTAGACTTAGTGGAAACGGGCGACGGATAACTGAGCAGTAGTAAAAAAAAAAGAAAAACGAGAACTAGACGCTATCCCTTGACCTGGCCGAAGGGACAAGAACAGTGTACTATTTATTTCATCTACGAAACTTTGTGATTCCATTGTTAAGAAGGTAGTTCGACTCAGAGATATTTTTTTCCCCAAGAACTTGTAGAACAGACAATCGATAGAGATCTTTCCCGATCGTTTCGATCTTAACTTTTTCATGCCTAGCATCGAACGTATAATTATTTACCCACTGCCCCACGCATCAAGATGATTTAAAGTGGGGTATCCGAGCCCGTAGGCTCGGGCAAAAATTCCATATAGACCACGTAAAAACGGAGTCAGTTTCCCGAGACGAGACTCTGCCCTTCGGGCATAGCCTCGTCTTGGGGATACCGTCTGGCATGTGCCGGGTAAGTATCGAACGTATATCTATCCTAGATATACGCATAAAATGATCTCAACACAATTCATTCAGCAATACTCTATCTTGTAAGGCTCTTGTGCCTTGTATTGAATATAACCCGGAATAAGAGATACCTGAAGAATGTGAGAGGATGTAACTGATGAATCGTCACAAACGTGACAACAAAGATAAGAAAAAAACTCCGATTATCTTCTTCTTTTATGTCCCATGTCCCTTCAGAACATAGGCGATCATGGCCCTCCACCTCCTCCTTTCGCTTGTAGCTCTTAATAAGTTTTGTCTTTTTGTTATTTCTCCCAGACCCTGTTCCGCTATCCACTTGCTCAAGGCCATTAAGTATGTCACACGTTGCTTTCCCCTGGCCATTTTTCCTTTTATCCGTCCTGTGATTATAGGATTTTCCAAGCCTTCCTTTCTCCTTAAGTATCCCAGAAATGTCAGTTGTCCCTCATGTAAGTATAAATTTCTTCTTTGTTTCCATTCTCTCCAAAATTTGATCATTGCTCACATGTTAAGCTCATGGTATCGTTAGCATCCTTCTGTAGAACCATACTTCTGTTGCTTTGAGTATCGTCTTCAACTGTGAGATTTTCCATCATTCGCTGCTATACAGGAGGACAGATATCACGTAGCAGTTCACTACTCTTTTCTTTGTTTCCAACTGCAAATAATAAGATTTCATCCGAGAAATTCAGACGGAAAGTAACTTTCTTAGCAACCCCAAAATTACTATGACGGACTGCAGTATGTACGAGGCTTCAAAATACCTTCAGGAAATTTCGAAGAAAATGCCTTAGCCTGT